TAAGATATTCAAATATAGCCCTTTTTGTAACATACTCTTTTGCCAACATTCCATTAAAGTTTTCCTTTAAATCCTTTCCAAACTTAAAACCATATCTTCTGATGGCTGCATGAACATAGAGGCTTCCTCTTCATCTGATAAAATATCTTGAAAACCTTCTTGCATTGATTCATCTTGTAGATTAAAAAAGCTTTCTAATTTTTAGTTCCCTTTGCTGCTTCTGTTCACAAGCCGCTAGGTCCCCATTTGTCATAATAAGTTGATTTTGATGTCTTACCCATTTTATAAGGACCGCATTTTTCTATTTCTAACTTTGCATCCAGTCTCCACTTCAATCCAAAATTCACCTTCAAAAGTCTATCCCGCATATCTTATTCTGCTTCCAAATCAGTATCACTTTCCCAATCACTTATCTCATCATTTCTCCAATTATTTTCACTAAAAGTATCATCCAAACCCGTTTTTAATTATTCCCCTAATATGTTCCCTTCCGTATCACTCTCAATTCTAAATTTATTTAAATAATTCTTATAAATAGGTTGAACGATTTATAAACTTATTTAAGTTCTATGAAAAATTTTTCTATTTTATTCTGGGTTGCATTTTTTAGTGCAGCTTTTCTTTTATTAAGTCGGGGCATGCTGAAAAAATTTTTTAAAAAAAAAGTCCGTTCAACTTATAAATTAAAATTCATCATCATCATTATCATTGTATTACAAATTTTCACGTGATCAATTTCATTTTATTAGACAAAATCGTTGTCATATGATAAATCGCAAGTTCAAAATTTAAACATTTTATAGAAAAATTACCAATTTTTAAACGCCTAAAGCTCAAAAAATTTCTAATCAACTAGAGATTTGAAGCTGTAACTTTTATTCTCTATTGTCTATATTATCATTATTACAGATTGTTTTTTTTTTATATTATGTAGAACAAAAGTTTTAGGATTTTAAAGTCATATAATTTTATTTTTATTTATAGATGATCTGCATCATAGTACAGTTAACTCTTATTATAACAAACTCTATGTCCTAGACTTCAACTTCGCTATAAGACTATAGTAAAAATTTTAAGAGATTTAATTGGCCAATTCATTATAACAAGAATATTTTTATTATATTTGTTCAAAAAATTTGTTATATCAAGAGTTCGCTATATTAAAATTGACTATATACATAAAATTTTAAAATTTAATGTGCATTTTATGTATAAAAAAAATTTATATAATGCATAAATGTATACAATTTATATACAATTTTTATTTTTTAAAGTTGATTCTAGTAATTGATCACCTGAGTATTCTAACTATTGGGTTAACTAGTCCTATATATTATCATACTTAGAAACAAGCTTCTTCTTGCTATATTTTAAGCCGATCTGAATTGATAAATTAATAGCTATCGTGATAAGCTATATAAAGTAAGCACTACATAATAAAATATTAATTATATCATAATATGAGAGATTCTGATTAACTACTAAAAAAAGAGTCTTTAATAACCTAATTTAGAATAGCTGTCTAATATAATTATTATATCTAGAATATCAAAATCACCTGAGAATTAAATTCAAGCCTCTTAAACCCTAATTGAACCATAGATACCATAGTATTTCAGCTAGAAATTACCTGTAATTTACAACTTTTGTTCAATTCAAATTATACAATTTCTATCATTGATCTATCATAACTTGTTATCAAAGATGATCCCTTTGCAGATAATGTGATACTAACCTTCTAAATACAAATTCTAAATTCAATCAATTCTATGTGTAATGTGATCATTTATATAATCATATAGGTTTACTATATTCTACAAATTCATGATTTTTAATATATATAGTTTGTGTTTATCCTATGAAATTCATTCTCAGAATTGAACTAGTAAATCCTGCAGTAAATTAATACTACAATCTGCTGACTGATGCTGAACTAAGATATATTATAATATAACCTATAATAAAAACTCATGCCTTATAGCATAAGCTAAAGATGCTAATCTTTTATGTTTAAAATTTTATATATACAATTTTGTGTATAATTTATGTATAAAAAATTTATATAGTTTACAATTTGCATAATTTTGTATATAATTTTATGTACAGAGGGTGATCACGGGTTTCTGAACGATAAGTATTTTTGTTTTTTTTCTTTGTTTACATCATCTACGCGTTTAT